GATTGTCCATGATACATCCAGATACAAGGTAACACATTCCTACAAGCAACAGAAGATATACTAATGAAGAAATATATGAAGATACACTAATGGAAGAAATTCTTCACCGTGAGGGTGGTGAGGCACTGGGACAGGTTGCCCAAAGAAGCTGTGGATGCCCTCTTCCTGGCAGTGTTCAAGGCCAGATTGGATGGAGCTTTGAGCACCCTGCTCTAGTGGAAGGTGTCCCTGCCCATGGCAGGGGGGTTGGAACTAGATGATCTTTAAGGTCCCTTCCAACCCAAACCATTCCATGATTCTATGATTAGATTAATGTGCAATAAAACCACTAGTAAGAATAAGGAATCACATAAGGATACTTCTGAAGCATCATGTTTGAAACAAAGTAAACTTACAAAATTTTTAAGGCAATCCAAGTAATTTTGTCAATATGGTAAATCAGCAGTGATTGTTCTTTGATTGGTATAAGCATGTGCATGAGCAGTTTCTTGTAAGTCATGCCAAATTATACCAATCTGCATTGTCAGTGTGCGGATGTAAATAATGCAGTATTCCCCACTTCACTTTTCTGGCTTTATTTTTTCTTAAAATGTAGAAGTTTGTGGGTTTGTTTTTTTTGTGTGGAATTACAATAAAACAATATTCTTTTATTGCAGTACATCACTGAATGAGATGGTCTGGCTATAGTTTTTGTTAGCTCACAGCCTTGAGAAGAGAGTTAGGAGCAAGGCTGCTGAAGGCAGTGAGAATATACAGCGTCAGTGAGGACTGAGTCATTATTGCTTTCTTTCGGATAGAACAGAGCACAGAAACAAATTTTCCTGATGAGGTCAGACCATTGCTTAAGGTTATTTCTGTATAGTCACTTAGAAAGTGTCATAGGCCTCCAGGTTGTGCTCTGCAATACTCACATGCAAGCGAGCTCCATGTACTACATCAGCCCAGCCCTGCATGCAAGCTGGTAAGCTCTGCTGAGCAGTGAAATGTAGGATATTGTGTTCAACCTTGTGCTAATTTGGTTAGCGAGCTTCCCAGCTACAGTTGATGCTAAGCCAGCGCGTTTAGAGTGTGGCCAGAGTGAGCAAGTGGCTACTTGCATCTTACAAAGTCAATGTGTCCCTCTTTAATGAGAAAGGGAAACAGGAGGCTGCACTGTTGGGGGCATGAGGTTTGGGGGGGTTTTTTTTGTAAGCTTTCTGGCACTGAAAATTAGAAAGAGCTTTTTGTGTATATTCAGGGAGCAAGAATAAGGAAAGCTGTGAGTCGTGTCCTCTACATATCTCTTTTAACATGATACCTGTTGTCTTATGCCGATTTATACAGGCTGAAGTCTTGGACTGTAAGTGATTGCTTCAAATTACAAAGTAAACAGGGAAGGAAGTTGGTGGAAACTGGTGTTATTTGGGGAAGGACATCCTTAAAACCGTGTTGCAGTGGGAGGCTGGAGACACAAGCATCTGCTATGTGGACAAATTTAGGTATAAAACCCAGTTCACTTATAGTCAGTGGAGCATATCTCTCAAATCTGGGACCTAGCTCACTTGCTTTCCGTGGAGGATTTTCATCTTGTTTGAGCAGAACTGGATTTTTGACAGAGATGCTTGATTAGAATAAATGGAGCATTCTTATCACATGCAGGCAACTAATGAATTGATGGATAAGCTCCACTAATTTCAATACAGTGCTGAATGTGTTAAAAGTTATGAGAGAGGTTGCTGCCTAAGTGCACTTACCAATTTTCTTACTGCTAAATTCTAGGTGAATTTAAGTTCTTTTTTGTAGATTCCATGAAACATAAGCATAACCAATGTTTTCGTATTTAGAAAGGTAAATAAGCATCTGTTCTGTGTTATAAAACCCAGGAAAAATAATCTGAAAATATTTTTTTTGGTAGGATCTCCCATTCAAAAGTGACTTCATTTAGTGCCTTAATTTTCAGATAAATTGTTTCAGGCCCAGAGAAAATCTCTGCCAATTTTCATGACAGAACAAATTTTGCTTTTATACTAATCCCCTTCCCCCCCAAATAAGATTTCTGTTATATAAGAGAACAACAACAATAAAAAGCCTAAACAACAATACTATAAACAGGATGATATAATTTGTGTTGTTATTTTACAATGCATCATTTCCTGTGTATTTCCATGACTCATGTCACATCAACAAACACGAACTTAAACTCCACCTATTTTCCAGAAAACTGTCACTGATAAATTTGGTCCATGGAGTTTTAGGAAACGTAAATTTCTACACAGGGTAGGTGGGTGACAAGCCAAGGAGAAGAGCCTAAGAGATTTATAAGAGGGCATTCCTCCTCCTCTTAGCATCCTTGTGAGGAGCACGAGTGATTTGCACAGTATTTAATCCTATTTACATCCAGCTAAATAAAGGTATCTTGTCCTTTCTTTATCCACGCTTTCATACACCCCACCTCCATCTTTCTGCACTTCCTACAGAGACGTGCAGTAACGCTTGATAGGAAATCAAATCCTGCTGTAGGTTTTACAATAAGGGAATACAAGCAGATATCAGCTGACTCTTCTTTTAGTCTCTCTTGCTGGGACTTTGTCCAGCCTTGGGGATTATCTCCACTGCAACCACCTTGGTTGGGAAAAGAAGGGTGAGAGATCCCTTGCAGTGCTTGCACTGTTCAGTGTATGTGCATAAACTTGTATAATGAATCACAGAAAAGCCATGGCTTCGCCTGGTAATGTCTTGACGACATCGAAGTATGGAGATTCTTCCACTTGTCCAGTAAATCTGCTCCAGTGCTCTGGCCTCCTAGAGGAGATTTTCCTGATGTCTGGTTTGAACATCCCAACCTGCAGTTGGTGGCTGTTGTCCCTGGTTGCACCCTCTGAAGAGTTTCTCTCCACGGTTTTTGTAACTCCCCTTCAGGCAGTGCCAGGCTGCAGTTAGATCTCTCCCTGACTTGTAACCTACTCTTCGTCACATGAAACAAATCCAGGTCCCTTAACCGCTCCTTCAAGTCACCTGCTTTAGGCTCCAGCTGCCATGGTGGTCTGCCACAAGCCTTCTCCTGCTTCTTGGCACCCTGCTTGAACTGTGGAGGGGAAAGTCAGGCACATTATTCCAGCTGCTGTCTTACCAGCACTGGGTAGAGAGGGATAATAACTCTTCTTGGTCTGCTGGACCTACACTTAATGTAGCCAGTATGAGATTTGCTTTATCTGTTGATCAGATGTCAGCAGTATGCTGTTGGCTCATTTTCAGCTTGGCACCAACAGTCACCTCCAGGTCCTTTTCAGCAAGGCAAAAATGTCTATAAAGATAGTAGCATCCTTGGCGAAGGCAGGGGAAATGCAGTCTTTAAAAATAGCAATAACTGCTCCCTGCTCTCTCCTTTCAAAAAAGAAAACAAATCCCACTGACACTTCCTGGTGAATATGTGGCTGGGAAGAATGATAATGTTGAAAGAAGGAAACCACCATAATCTGTTGTTTCAAGGTATCTCCAGGTAAAGCAGAGTCTCTAAAATCAAGCGACTCCTAAATTCTGTAGCTGGTAGTAAAAATAACATATTTACCCTACAGTATTAAATCACAAGCTTTCCAAGAGTATTTTCACAAAACATTCGAATGCAAAGTTAAAATAGCAAGGAGACTGTCATCGCTGTTAATGCGCTGAGTCCTGTATCTGTCTATGTATTGTTACAATAAAAATAAATAGAGCATATAAGCCAAACACTTTCTTTTTGTGTAGAGTTAGAATGTACCCTCAGCAAGTTTGCTGATGACACAAAACTGGGAGGAATGGCGGATGCACTGGAAGGCTGTCCTGCCATTCGGCAAGACGTGGACAGGCTGGAGAGTTGGGTGCAGAAGAACCTGATGAGGTTCAACAAGGGCAAGTGTGGGGTCCTGCACCTGGGGAGGAACAACCCCATGTACCAGTACAGGCTTGGGCATGGCCTACTGGAGAGCAGCTGTATGGAAAGGGACCTGGGAGTGCTGGTGGATGACAGGTTGACCATGAGCTAGCAGTGTGCCCTGGCTGCCAAGAAGGCCAATGGGATCCTGGGGTGCATTAGGAAGAGTGTGGCCAGCAGGTCAAGGGAGGTTCTCCTCCCCCTCTACTCTACCCTAGTGAGGCCTCATCTGGAGTACTCTGTCCAGTTCTGGGATCCCCAGTTCAAGAAAGATGAGGAGCTACTGGAGAGAGTCCAGGGGAGGGCTACGAGGATGGTGAGGGGACTGGAGCATCTGTTCTATGAGGAAAGGCTGAGAGAGCTGGTCTTGTTTAGCCTGAAGAAGAGAAGGCTGAGAGGGGACCTTATAAATGCTGATAAATATCTGAAGGGTGGGTGTCAGGAGGATGGGGCCAGACTCTTTTCAGTGGTGCCCAGCAACAGGACAAGGGGCAATGGGCACAAACTGAAGCACAGGAAGTTCCGTCTGAACATGAGGAAGAACTTCTTCCCTCTGAGGGTGACGGAGCACTGGAACAGGCTGCCCAGGGAGGTTGTGGAGTCTCCTTCTCTGGAAATATTCAAGACCCACCTGGATGTGGTCCTGTGCAGCCTGCTGTAGGTGACCCTGCTTTGGCTGGGGGTTTGGACTAGGTGATCCCCAGAGGTCCCTTCCAACCCTGACCATTCTATGATTCTGTGATTCTGTGTATTGGTTATAAGAAAAAGGTCGCTTTTCAATGTTTTCTAAAAACATCCCTCAGTGGGATGCCTGTTATGTATGGATCTTATTGCTGAAAGGAAATTTGAAAAACCTGTAAACAAAAAAACAAAACCCCTTTTGAGGTAAGTGAAGTTTTGTTTAGTATCTACTGTTATTAGCCATTAGATGATAAGCAGGCAGATTGGATAGGTATTTCTTGAAATCCTACGTAGTATGGAGAACATGCTTTCATTGTGCTTCCTGGCATTACAAGATAATATGCCTTATTTGGGAATACAGTGATCAGTTCTGTTAAATCATGTTCAATCAGCTTATATAATAATACCTATATTTTGTTATTCATTTCAGATTTCAGAGACCTATGCCTTCCTACCGAGAGAAGCGGTGACACGATTTCTAATGAGCTGCTCAGAGTGCCAGAAAAGAATGCATTTAAACCCAGATGGAGCGGATCATAAAGGTAGTTTTACTGTCAGATAGTGGGGTGTAAAGTCATTTTATTCGTAATACCCATTTATATTTTCCTAGCTTAAGTGAAGGTTCTTAAAGTTTGGTAGACTGGAACAGTTCAATAAGTCACACCATCTCATTTACTTAAACTGCAAGGTAGTGAATCTTCTGCTTTTGCTTAAGGATGGAGTGTAATACCATATGCACCCTCAATAGCAAGATCATTTTATCTGGAGGAAATAATTTATTTTGCTATGGAAATGTTTATATGGGGGCTTAAACATAAGGAATGGATAGGATGAGTATGCTGTAATAATTTAGGATAGAGGAACTCATCACTTTTCAGGGTTTGAACTTGATGTTCATTTGTCTTCAGGAGACTTCCATCTGTAAAGCCCACAAGCAATTGAAAATGCCAAAGTTAGAACTAAATGACATAACTCTCTGACTTAGACTGCCGAGCAGGCTGAAGTAGCCTCCACAATTAACATATAATGCATAATAAATACTTTTATTGCAGATAATGGGAAACCTCCAACTTTGGTGACGAGTATGATTGATTACAACATGCCAATTACTATGGCCTATATGAAACACATGAAGCTGCAGCTATTAAATTCACAGCAAGACGAGGTAAAACCTTTTGTTTTTCTGTTCTCCTGTGTTCTTAGGTGTCTGTCTTTGCAGTACCCAGGAAACTGAACGGAAGATGAATCTTGATCCCATCTTTATAATTTCATTGCTAAAATAGTGAGTCTGAAACCAAACCAAGGCTGTGCACAAGTAGTCAGGTTGAGAGAAAATGTCATGACTTACCACCCTTCCATGGCTGGGGTTAATACACTATACTGCTTCAAATTACCTGAAGGTGTCCCTTTACTGTCCGGACCAGCGGAGAGGTTAGGGGGGGCAGCAAGTTCACCTGAGACTTAGTGCTGTGCTCAGCAATGGCTTGCATTGTCTACTTCTAGAAAGCAATAGCATCAGCAGCTGAAATGAATGCCATGGTCTTCTCAAGGTTAGCAGCCAGGATGCAACACGTTATAGTGAGATAGAGGTAAACTCTGGCAACATCAGTTGAAATTTTAAAGGCAAAAAGCCTGATAAATAAGAGTAGGGGTTGCTTTTGAAAAGGAACAAAAAGACAGGAAAGAAAGGAAGAGAAGTAGGCTGAGAATCAAGCTTCTTCAGAGGGAAATTGAGTTGAATTGCATTTACTTCTTATCAAAAATTATTTTTTCTGTTATTTATTCAAGCTTTCCAGATCTTAAGAAGTGCTTCATCAATTGGCTGGTGTCTACCAAATTATTTGTAATAAACTCGTTTTGCTAGTAATATGTTCATTTACCATTTGAGCTGCCAAATATTTAGAAGCCCGGCTATGTGCCAGCCAAAAAGCAGTCCTGCATGCTGTGTCCTTCTGCCTGACTACAAGTGTTTTGTTTAATAAAGAAACCCCCTCAAAAACAACCTCAGTAGCTGGATGATATCAAAGACCCTGACTGACTCCTGACTTCTGTGGAATCGTCCAGATTTGGTTTCATAATAAGTAGATATGAGCTATTGGTGGAGATTTTATGAATTATTCAACAACACATAGAATGGGGATTTCACCACTCTTTGAGAAATATCAGGATCCTTGTTTCTCTTTTGCCATTTTTTTAATTGTTGAGGGTGTAGGGAGAGATCCCCCACTCTGTGTTTTTCACACACAGATACAGACTGGTTGTCTTTCCCTCCTATTGAGTCTCCCCTCTGTGTGCTGCTACTTTTCAGGAATCTGGCAGCAGGGTTTCAAGCATCAGAAGAGGCTTTATCCCTGCAGTAGCCTTAGGAGTTAAAGGACTCTCTGGTTTTCCCAATTCTTCCCTTTGAGAATTACTCTTCCCACAACAGGGTCAAGCACTCGTGCTGGATCAGGGCCACCTGCCGCAGTGCTGTTACAGCCTGAATGTTTTGGTGTAGTCTTTCTGATCTGATGACTGAAATTGTTGCTAAACCAATTTTTCATCTAAATGGACCAGTAGCAACGATACGGTGGCAGCAGGAAGCAGCATTGCTTGGTATCGCCCTTCCCAGCTCGGTTTTGCAGCTCTAATGTTACTGCGTGTGAAATATTTGCAGCACTGGATTTAAGAAAAGTAATTTTTGATATGTTTTAGTAACAACGTGTTTTCCAGGGCAGGGTGGGCACAAGGGAAGTTCTCAAGCTAATCATTAAGTCTTTTCTCAAAGCAGGGTTTTGCTAAGAATTTCTTTCTTCTCTGGGCTGTACATTTGTTGCAGTGAGAACAAAATGACAGTGAAAATGTTGTAGTACAAAGCAGGAAGATTTCTGGTGCATACACTCAAACCATTTCATGCATTTAAAAACATGCTTGGCTTTGTAGGAAAGCTCTGTTTCCAAGGTTTCATCAGTCATATCTGTATTCTTGTGGAGGGGGTGGAATTGAGACAGGAGTAAACTTGGATCCCACAACTAGCTAGCACAGTGACTGGAAGCCTCCTAATTCTCTCATCCTCAATTCATCATTTTTAAGCTGAGGTCGTCGATGAAAGGGAAGAACAGGAGAACTCATCACTGTGTGGGAATTTACAGCTGTGCTGCGACTGGTACAAAGATGCCAGTGGCTCCCAGCTCCTCTTCCCATGCCTGCATGTCCACAGATCCAGATAAATGGTTACACAGTTCGGAGAAGGAGGTGGAGATGTTCTGCAGAGTGCCATAGGCAAACACAGGCATGTGGGGAGTCTGTGTTCTGATCTTGCTCTCTGAGAAAGCAGTGTGCGTTTTCCCAAAACCTCAGAACCAGCTTGGCGTGTGCGTTGGCCGCATCTGTCTGGGGCAGGAGGCTTAGTGGGCACCACGTCCCACGGTTCTGGTGCGAGGGCAGTGTTCGGGGGGTGCTCCCACCTGATGTGGGCAGGGTAGACAGGTGCCCCCTCCATTTCATTTCCTACAAAACTTTGAAAAGAAGGTAGGTTTCTTTTGTTACTTGTCATTGTCCTGGTGTGACGGTGCAGAACAGCGTCGCCTTGCCTGTTGTCCCACTCTCACTCCTGAATGGCATTTGCCAGTACTTCCTCCCTGTTCAACAAGAGTTGTGACTACAGGGAACTTCCCTTCGGAAAATGAGAGAAACACCCATGCGAGCTGGAAGCACCAGTGAGACTCATGGGAAGAATTGATTTAAGGGCCAACTGCTCAGAAGAATGAAAGCAGCTGTATTAGCATCGGTAGAAATCAGGTCACAACAAATACTCTGTAAATAATATTCTAAAGATTGCTGTTTTTCTAAGCCACTTCTGGTGAGCAACCCAGAAAAAATAGTCAGAATCCTCTTAGGTTAAGTTCTGTTGTTATTTAAAAAAAAAAAAAAAAAAAAATTGGAAAAGTATTTTAAGATAATCTTTAGGGGATACAAAGTTATCTGGCTTATTTTTCTGCATGTTCTTTAAATGGCTTTTCTTCATAACAGGAGTAATTATCTCAGAAAAGTTGTTTCTGAAAATAGAACACCATAGGTTTGTGTGTTGCTTCAGCAGCTTACAGAGCAAGATGTGTGGATGCTTAATTTTTAATCTACGAGTCCATGCATGAACTTTAGTGGGACAGAATAGAGTAGACATGTATGTGAACATTTACTGGACTAGGTCCAAAATTGTTCTGCTTTTGTAACTGGGAACAAAATATTTCATCACAACTTTTTCTTTTTGCCCTCTGCTATCATCCCTAGTAGAGACTCTGTAATTAAACTCGATTGATAAATCATATTAAAGATGTATGTATTAGAATAAATTTGAAGTGATTCTCGTATGACTATATTACTTTGCTTTGCTATTGACTGTCATTTGAGCATGCTCGGAAGTTTCATGAGCTTTATCATTTTAATAGATGCTTCTTTAAACACAGTAGCAGTGTAAGGGTGACATCATGTCAAGGGAGTCTTATGAGGTCAAGTTGCCATTTGGAAGTCTTACTGTGAGTGGTTGTCATGGGGTTACCGACCTCACTTGGGAACGGTAGAGAATTCAGGCAGGGAATGTGTAGAGCTCTCCTCAACCAAATTTGGGTAACAAGGACTTGATATGGGGTCTCTAGTCACTAGCCCTCTTGCAAGATACTATGGAAGCAGTTATGAGTGTGGTAATGGAGTATCCTCATAGTTGAACAAATTGCATTTGTCAGATTATTGTATCACAAAAATGCTGTGTTTTCCTTGCTCTTCCTTATGTGCTCTGCTTGTTTGCTTATAAACACAAAGATTCAGCATGATTATGCTCCACACCAGGTGTGACTCAAAGGAACGGGAAGGAGTGAACAGCACGTATAATGTGAACAGCGTATGATGTTTTCTGACATGTCTCTGAAATTCTGAATTTGCAGGATGAAAGCTCTATAGAAAGTGATGAGTTTGATATGAGTGACTCGACTAGGATGTCAGCTGTGAACTCCGACCTCAGCTCAAATCTAGAAGAGAGAATGCAAAGTCCTCAGAACCTCCAGGGCCAGCAGGATGGTAAGGCTCTCGTTTCATATAGAAAATGCGGTATCGCCTTGTCGTTTTCCCATTCTGTGCCTTCACTTAGTACCTGTTGTGTCCTTTTCTTCATAGTGTGTTTCATTAGGTAATTTGAAATATAAGTTCCCTATGTCTCAGCATGAAAGAGGATGAAGTTGGGTTTTTTACAGGTTAATTTATTTGTTGCTTAGGCAACAGGTGAATGCTTAGACCACTGTATGTTAAGTGCTATTATTTTACTATCTTTATATATGTAGTGTGACCATACACAAGCATAAAAGGAAATGGAACTCAAACCTTTCTGAGGCAACCCAAAAGGCGGAGAAAGTTGTTTTTACTGGTTGAAATGAGGGAGAGGGGTATGACAGAAGCATCGTTGTTTGAGAGCTAGGAACTGGGATGTGATATGCAGAAGAGAGGGTGAAAAAGACAAGCTCCAATAGGGAAACAGAGGTAAAAGAAGAGAAAGCAAGATGAGCAGCTTTGTAAATCTCAATGTTAAGTATTTCTAGGTCAGTTACAACACAAGGCCAACTGGTTGGTGAAAGAAGTGGAAGCTTTACTTTGCATAGAAGATGAATAGATGTGTATTCTTTGATTTCAGCCCTTGTTACAGGATGAATTAGATGGACCTGGTTTGGAGTGAACTTTCACCTTGGCTGTGGAGCTCACACAGAGCCTGTCCACTACAGATTGCGACAGTGGTTCGTGGGTGGTACATGAATGCACAACATCCAAAGTACAGCCCTATTCTATCACTGTTAGAAACAGCATAATGGTATTCTGCATTTGTTACTCTGTATTTTTCTGATCATGTGTACCAATTCAGCACTGCTTCTTATATTTCTCCTATACACTAAATATGTGGAATTTGACAGTTAAGCTGGATTCTTTCCACTTTATGCATCATTGTCAATTGCTAGCTGGTAAGCTATTTGGGAGAGAATGGATGTGCTGCACAGTGGCTGATAGGATCTGGTAATGGGTAGGACCTTCTGCTGTCTTGCTCTCCAGACAAATAAAGGAGGAGGATGTCTGTGATAATTTTGTAGGCCAGAGTCTAACCACAGCTGCCTTTTGTCTGAGTGTCCTCAAGTGATCACAAAATTTGTGCAACTTCTGACTTAATTTCTGTCTACGCATGTACCTCTCTTCTGAGGAAAGGCTGAGAGATTTGGGGTGGTTCAGGCTGGAGAAGAGAAGGCTGCGGGGAGACCTG